AAAGACTATAGAATACCCAAGATGTGTCACTCGTATAGTTTTGAATGGGGGAAAATGCAACACTCAATATGGCCACTCGATCTAAAGAAACCCCGCCTTCTGAGTAAAAGAGCCAATCGCTAATCGGTAAAGTCAACTCATCACTGCAGCTGCCACTAGAAGTCCCGGTTGCTATAGAAACAGTCAGCATTCTGAGACGTGCGCTTAAGATTGCGCATACGCACTGGCTGGTCTAGCCTGAATAATGATATTTTTTTAACACTATTTGAACAAAAGAAACAACATTTATGAGACAGTTGTTGTCAGATTTCATTGGTGATTTCAAATATGAAATTTAATCATAAGCTTGGCGAACAGTTTTGGAGAATTTGATGTTTCCCCATTCAGAGAAATAGGAGCTGCACTTGAGGCGTTTCAAAGATGGCAACTGAGTGAAATGACTTGCCTTAAAGGGACTTTGGTAATACAGATCCCCTCATTTCCCAGTGGTAAGACAATCTCTGACTGTAGTAGCAACCCGTGGCGCCGTAGGACCCAAATGGCTCTTCTGAGCTGACCTTGATGTGCTTGATATAAATTATCAATATATGATTTTATTAGAAAATAGCATTTGGCATTTATTTATTTAATTATGTCAAAAGGCTTTGCGTTTCGGATTCGGATTTCGGTTGGCAACCCCTGTGCTCAGAGTCTGAACAGTCTAGGCTGGGTTTATTTAGTAAAACTCTTTGTTTTACTCTTGCTAATGACTTCTCCTTTGTTCTTAGTTTGTAATTTTTATGCACATCTATTCATTTCATCAGGTAGATTAATGAGGAGTGATATTTACTTTTATTAGGCACTGTTATTCACTAGAAAGAAATGTATCCAAGTTTAATTAAAGTTTTGCTAGCTTTTGCAAACATTAGCTCTCATTATACCACCATAACGCTGATGACATCAACATGTACATGTTTATTCTATTCCAAAACCCAGTGTTTGATATTTTCTTATTATACTAAATCAAATTTGTCTAATAACTTTGTACTTAATATTGCACTTTAATATTTTACATAAAAATAGTTTATAAAATTGCTACACAACTCATTCTATTCATGTTTCATGAATAAAGCCCAGATCTGTTCACATCCTCAGACTCTGACATAAATAATTTCTATAGCAACGCTCATAACATTAAAATGGATCCATGTGCAGCTATGTTGTTGATGTCAGAAAAATACATCAAACCACTTAATTCAGATATATGCTCCTCTGCATCAAGGGCCTAGTGCATTTGGGAGCTTCAGCTATGGGTAATATGTGTAGAGATGTTAATATTTGGAATCTCGTAACTATGGTAACTATGACATAATTTGAACACACCATAAGATCTGAGAAATGCAACAAGGTTGATACAATTCAGCCGTCATAATAAAAGCAGATATTGCTGGATTGATTGATTGATTTATATTTTTATTTATTTATTTATTATTATTATTATTATTATTATTATTATTATTATTATTAGTATACTTATAAGTCTGCGATCCGCCGTAAAGCAAGAAGATGAAGCAGCCTAGTAGTCAAGCACCGGCTGAAGAAGAAGACGCAAACACGCTCAGGACAGTTCAGACATTGCGGTGAATCAGAGGTAAAAAACTATATAAATACTGTTCCATCTTTGTTTGTGTTCTACTGAAGAAACAAAGTCACCTACATCTTGGATGCCCTGGGGGTAAGCAGATAAACATCAAATTTTCATTTTTGGCTGAACTATCCCTTTAAGATGAGACCTGAATGGGTCTGCTTTGAAAGGCATAGAGGACACAGGCCTCCAAATGACATTAATCAAAATGAAATAAGGCAGTGTGTCGGACGGGCAGACAGAGGAGTAACCATGTTTGACAATTTCTTTGCACAATTCTCGCCAATCACTGATTGATCCAGACACTTTTTGTTTCAGCAGTGCCAAGTAACCTTTTTAAACACGAGCCTTAAAATGCCTTCCTTACCTTTTTCCTGTGATATGTTAGGGGAGTGATGGTATAAAAAAGGAAGTTAAAGACCTTTTAGCCTTGTGATTTAGTAATTCCTGTGCTTTGCTTCTCTCTCTCTCTCTCTCTTTAGTTGTGGTCTTAAAGAAAATCTCATGAGATGTTTTGAGTTAATTATGGAGTACCTCTGAATAAGAGAGAAGCTCAATCTGACTGCTGATTTCTGCATTTACTGCTACTTTGATAATTAAGTTGCACTTATAACATCAGTTTGCAAGTATACAGACCATGAAAGTGGTCATTGTACATGTCAGACACATCACAGCTATTCATGTTCTTAAAACTAGTCGTAACCAGAGTCGTTATTTTATAGGTTACTGTTCGAAGGTGAGCATGACTTCATCTATGTTGATATCAAACATACCCTGCAAACTAAAGAGAAAATCCTTGAAGGAAATTGCTATATTTATGACAGTGTTTGCAAAGCAGCACAGTATTGATATTCCTCAAACATTCAGGTTAGGGTTCCAAACCCCTGACTATTAAACCTCTGCAGTTGCTTCTGCCTGAACCATTTAAGCCTGAACACAGAGACTCTCTGTAACATTCTGTTTTGGAGATAATTTCATGCTTAGGAGGATTTTTTTTCCCCCACTTAAAGATTTCCAAAATTGCTACTTAATTAAAATGATGTATATTAATAGAACAGCTAGGAATTTTTAGGCTCCTCACAATTCAATCAGACAATTCTGGATGTTTCTTTTATTGTTGTTTTCTGTGGTTGTACCCGAGAATGATCAACATTTAAGTGTGTAATACATTGTGTCTTGCAATTGCTGTTATAACATATTATTCAACTTATTCAGCCTTTTGTTCTAAGTTACGAAGCTTATCTTGCATATGTTTGTTTGTCATTTATTTATCACATATAGTGTGCATTCAATTTTGTGCATTATTCATTAATGATATGCAGATGCCACTGCAGATGGTGTTATTTGTTGATGCAAATAAAAGCATCTACTTTATATAGATACGAGCTAGACTGATGGTGGATCGATAGTGGATCAATCCAGACCAGTTCAAGAAATAGTCATGGTTCATCTGTGATACGTTGATTTTATAATACTAATTTGGTGGTTGATGTTTCTGATGAGATAATTGTCTGTATATGTTTTTTTTTTTTTCCAAAACATTTTGAATTCATTTTCACAGAGTAGTTTCTGCAGTGAAGTAGCTCTGTTTGAGAATATATGCTACATAATCTCTTCACATCTCTACCTATCCAAATCTTCCTTTGTACCCTTTGAAGAAGCCAATGAAGCCACAGCAATGGAGCTCTTTTAAGCTGTCAAAAAAAAATCCCTGACTAAACACAAGGGAGAAGCAGTTAATACCCTGGCACAGTATAGGGTTGGAAAAAAAATACCCTGACTTTGTCAATGATTGAGTCAAGTTATTCTGAGGCGTGACCTTAAATAGATTAGCTCATGTCGTGAGGTCTGGATGTGCTCAAAGGAAGTGTTTTTAGTGTGGGGCGGGATGGAAATATCTATTTGAAAACCTAGTGAGCTGTGTACGTATAAAGCATTTTTAGGCATCATAGGTGCACTGTCGACTCAGAGACTGTTCCACAAGGTAGGCAGCATTCTAAAATACTTAGTTTTGGCCAAATTTTAAGACAGCCTTGCATATATGCATGTACAGAGAAGGCAGTCCCATAATGCATTGTGACAAGCTCAGTGAAAAAGGTTAAGGAAGATAAATATCAGTTATAAATGTTGATTTATAAAATATTCAATACAAAATTGCATTGCTAAAAATAGAGATGCTAACGTCAAACAATTGTAAGTTGAGAATGTAAAGTTAAATGGGCCTTTTATAATTTGATTGCACTATTTTATCAGTATTTGCAGGTCTAAAATAATTACATTCATAACCAGTATTTCTCTTTGCTCATCCACGATCTTGGATTCATTTGTTTATTTGTTTTCACTGAACTCATCGCAGTGCATTGCATTGATTGCTTTTTATGAAGGACATATGACTACGTTTTGGAAAAGCCTTTGAGTTGCCTTAAATGCCTTAAGTAATGACAAGCTGGTTATATTGCATTACATTCTTATATTGATGATTATATATCTACGAAACCTATTGTCATATAACTTATAGTACGTTGCGTTCCTTTCAATAGCAACAGTAATAACTACAAACCATTGCAATTGTTAAATCTACGTTTACTTTCTTTGTACTCAACAGCTAGGACCTGTGGCTCTAATCTGCGGGGCCCTAAAGGCATCATAACGTCTCCAAATTATCCCGTCCAGTATGAGAATAACGCACACTGTGTGTGGGTCATAACAGCAATGGATCCAGAGAAGGTACGTTTGTAATTTAAATCGAAATTGCAACCTAAGGCTGACTCCAAGTTATACGAGAGAACAATTCCACAAAACACGCTTACGGTCCATTTTTAATCTACCAAACCAAAACATGATATACTTTTGAATAGCCACCATGACACATAATTGAATGGGACCTTGCATAAATGTCAAAAATAATCTTAAAGATAATTTGTGAGGACATTTGCATTGCAGTCCACAGTGTTTGCATAATTGTCAACCTCTTGCCCCGACTGTCTCTCGCTATTACTGCGTCTCCAGAATTGATTAGGATCAGCCACACGTCTTCAGCTCTGTGGCAAGAGTGATGGTAATACAATCCGGCATGAGCTCAACACACGCCGTGAGAGTGACTCATGCTTTTGTTACTAAATCAAGACCAAATTAAAATAGTCAAAACAACATATTAGAGTAAACAAGAGCTATCCTGCTCCCCATGCTTTGCAGATATTAATGTTGGGAATATTTGTGTATGTGTGGCCTTATTGAATTTACTTTCAGATCTTGAAATTACTGTACAATGATGTAACACTATAACACAATTGACATTTCGGATATTTACATTTGTGCCTTTTTATTAGTACATCTACTACTTAATAAAATTTAAGATTTTTGAATGTTTTTGAAAAAAAAAAAAATCTTATGCCCAACAAGGCTGAATTTATTTGATAAAAAATACAGTAAAAAAACAGTAATGTTGTAAAATAGTATCACAGTTTAAAATAACTATTTTCTATTTTAAGTTGAAATGTTGAAAACATTTGTTCTGCTTCATTTTTTTTATCAATGTTTCAATTGATTTTGCATATTTTATAAACATTGATACATTTTTTCAGGATTCTTTGATGAGTATAAAGTTCAGTTGGTTTGTTTGTTTACTTATTCATTGTTTGTTTGTTTGTAATAATGTAAAAGTATCTAGTCTTTGATGTAATACATCTCCGATTGAAACTTCTTGATAAAAACAAAACAAAAAACAGTAGAGTTCTGTGAATAAGTAAAAATGGTTTTAGTGAATAGATTCAAACCTCTAATTCATTTGGATGCATTTGCATTGCCACTCAGAAACCAAGGGCTCTGTCTGAGATTTTCCAAGCATTTAAATATTTAGTAGAACTATATATGTAGATAAAAAAATTATATAGGTTTATATTTGAATATGTTTAATTTAGATTCATATAAATTATTCCTTTTGTTGTTTTATTGTGGAAAACAGTCCTTGATTATTTGTAGAATCTACATTGTTTGGTTAAAATGTTGGTTTCTCTGATAAAGGGTATAAAATCGTTGTTTTAATATATTTCAGAGCAAAAACATGAATATTGTGATAGACATCATCCACAAGCTGAAAGACAGTGTGATGTAGGTGAGCTCTAATTGTTTTGGAGCGCTAATTCCAGCCCTAATTGTGACACAAGGTTTTAAACACATGCTGTCTCTTAGTTTGGTGTAATTTACTTGCTAAACTGAATTTTAGAACATCTTGCTGTACTGTGTCCATGAATTGCTGCGGCAAACCGTAGTTTCCCCAGAACAGCTGAATTTGTTAAAAATTCAGATCCTACAGCACTGTAGGAAAAAAACAAAACAATAAAACATTTGATTTATAAAATCTATCCCTCTGGAACGGGATGTGTATAATTAGTCAGATGATAGACTAGTGTAAAATCTTAGTGACATGCCAGTAAATTGAAAGTACCTGTTGGCCACCATCATAAACATACTTGACTATCCTACACATAAAATCCGTGCCATGTCACAACCAGTATATTTATATACTCCTGACCACATGTTTTTGCTTTGTTCTCGTGATGAAAAGATGTAACTTTAATTTATGTTACATTGTGCATTGTGCTCTGTTCCAAAACCTAGCTAGCTGATATAGACTGCACTTATGGCTCGTTTCCACCGAGCAGTAAGGTTCAGTACAGTACGGTACGATTCGGGACGGTGTTCTGATGATTTGTGCTACCCTGTCAGATTTTGCTACCTCTGATTGAAACCGTAGGTAGCACAATGCGACAACAAAAAATGCTACCCAACAGATTATGCTTTATTAATACCTACACCTACCCCAACCCTAAACCTACCCTTACAGTAATGAAAATACAGTTATTATGTGTTGTTCAGCGTGAGAACATTGACGCAATATTGACGTGCACATGCAGTAAGGACAATCTGACGGGTAGGATGAACACTTTGTTTCAGCTTGCGTTTCCACCACCAACAGTACCCTTACTTGATAGATGTGGTGTATGCCGGAAAGTAGTGTCCGATGTCATTCTCGCACAAAGAAGAAAATGCGACATTGTCTGTGTGTGTGTGAAAATATAAAATTATAAAATACACTGTTATATTTTTTTGTGCTTGCACACTCTAAACAAGCCCAACACGCATGAGCAGCATGGCTAAACGAGTGAAGGAGACGCTTCATCCCCCTTGTGTTGTCATTCCCCTTATAGCACACGCAAGTGACGATTCTCTGTCAACCAATCAATGTTCTGCAGTGAGCCTAGCTCCACCCTTTAGGTGTGCTGCTGTGCTAGGTACCCCAATGGAAGGGTCCCAAAAAAGTGGTGTGGTACGGTTCACAATTTTGATACCATTCACAACTTCTGACAATGGAAACGTAAATAATTGCATACCGTAATGTACTGTACTGAACCGTACCGCTCAGTGGAAACGAGCCATTAAAGGCATCATAGACAGATTCTAGACATGAAGCTTGTTCCAAATGGTACTTTCTTTTGATCAAATTCTAAGGTACTCACTGATATCCTTCATGGCATCTGACTTCATCACATAACAGGTGGATTGCCCTAATAACCACACATGCAGTCTTCACTGACAGTCTTCACTGGGGGAAGTCGTGGCCTAATGGTTAGAGAGTTAGGGACTCGTAACCGAAAGGTTGCGGGTTCGTATCTCGTACCGGCAGGAATTGTAGGTGGGGGGAGTGAATGTACAGCGCTCTCTCCGCTTTCACCAGTTGTCTACTTGCATGACATATTTCCTGTTTCTGTGAGTTCCTGAATCCTGGGAAATGTTTCCCTGAATCGTTGGAAATGCTTAGCCTTAAAGACTTTTTTGGATTTACAGGTTAAATGCTATGTGCAATTGTCTTTGAATATAGAAACAAGTAATAACAGTGACTGTTAAACACTACAGCTGTGTTTATATTTATATAATCTAGACATACTATATTCTCCATGTTGTTATTGTCACGTGACCTGCTAGTGTCAGTTGCGTCACCTCACTGCCATTCATGAATCCTCTCCCGTGGCCTCATGGAATAGTAAAGTGTCCATTGGATGCTCATTTCAGAATCTCGCAGGAAGCAGCAAGTCATCCAGGTACTTTTGCCTACGGTTTTGTGAATGCTGTAAATTTTGACATCCCACTTATGTGATGGAGTCACATGGCAACTGACACCTTATCATGTGATTTACTACGTGAATGATATTACTCTCACCTGTTGAAAAATTGTGTTACTTTTCCTTAGGAAGGTTTATGCCAAAAATGTAAAGGAACGAAGGATCTGATCATTTTGTATGTATAGCCTTGTGATAATAAAGGGATTTGAATAAATGATAGTGCCTTTGTTAGCTTTTTGTTTTTGGACCACGTTGAACCCTTGACCTTAGAGCACCTTCTTGTTATATTCCACCTAAGAAGCACTCTCCACCATTAAACAATCTTTAAAAGTTTTATTTTTTTCCTAATTTATTTATTTACTTTGAAACTCTGTTCAGAACAGAATGTTAAGACCTCAAAAGATCATAAAAATGCAGTCTTGATCTCCGTCTCTGTCATAGCATATGGTCCGAGACAAGAAGGTCATGTTCCAAAACATGTTCTGACTGCTGATACAGTCAGACTCAAGGCCATTTTATTAATAAACATCAGCCTGCTTACAGACCAGTAGCATTTTGTCATATTGATCTGGCCTGGATAATGTTTATTGTCTTTCAAAAAAAGGGGCCATTTACCGACAAGAGGTCTCACCGTATATAAGTTGACATAACGTATGAAAATCAGTCAGATTCAGCTCATAAAATGTTTTGTTCCTGTCCTTGCTTTAAATAAAATATTTAGTGATACAGTATTCAGTGCTGCCTTTTCAGACAAGCCATCACAACTAAACAACCACTGCTGCACAGATTCAAAATGATAAAACAAACAAAAGGATTCAAATATTCAGAAATGTCGTAATTACTGTCAGTGGAAGGTCAGCTTTGAGTCAGCATTGTATAACATATTAACATAACATATTGTATAGCTCTGTATAACATATTATTGATATTTTATATAATCTGAATGGTCATTTCACATGGTACATGAATGACACGAGTCAAGTAAGAATATGTTTTAAAGTTTTCAAATTGGTTCCTATAATCTAATCATTCCTGGTCGCAGGCAGAGCTTACTTCCTAAATTAAGTATTCAGAAATGCATGCTGGATTTCTGTAGCTCAGCGAGGACACGACCATTCAGACAGGGCCAATGAAGCTGTTAAAAAAATTAT